CAAGCTTATATTTTTTAAAAGTTTACAGAGAATAATTTCATCATGCATGATATGTTGTACTAAAAGAAAAAGGTTAGATCATTGATATTTTTGTGTTGTGATAATCCAAAATTTATCACTGTATTAGCATGTTAATTAATAATAATTAGTTTATAATATTTTATTTATAGAGCATATGACTTAATTAGTGTAAAAATTTGAAATTAAATGAAAATAGTTTATTATCTAAATGCGGAAGCGAATAATAAAATCAAAGTTTATATTCTTTACATAGTAAATTGGATTTCTCAATAGAGTTACGAGAATATCCCTTCTATTTTGGTTCATAAAAAAAGACAAACGATAATAAAAACAAATAAATAGATATTTTAAGGGGTTAACCTCCATTAGCACTTGAAGGAGAGTACGGGAGGTGAATTACTCACAACTTTCTTACTGATCGGGATCTGAATCTTGATCTTTTTGATTTAAAATAGTTAATAAAAGGGTGAGCTATACTAGCTCAGAAAAAATATTATACTAATCATTGATACGGAAAACTGAAGGTTGGTAAAAATCACAAAACAACTAATGGAGCTCTTGATTTAAGTAAATATATTTAATTTTAAAATATTTTATTTTATACTTACCGTTACGAATTTTTTCGAAAATAATCTATAAAAACAAATAGCCAAGTAACATTTTAATTTCGTTCATAAGATCAATAATTCTTCTTTTTAACCTATTTATTGGGACCCTTGGAGGTCCATAAGGATATTCATCTACTCGTGAACCCAGTGTCTCGATTTGACACTTAATTCGGTTATTCCCATACCCTGTCTGGTAATAAGCGCCTACATGCCATTCCCTCGATACCTTGTTCGATATAAGCTAAACCATCTTTTCCAAATCCTTCCGATATGAAACTTTTTAGTCCCGTCCAATTGAGATAATGTCCATAGTAGGGTTCCTTATGTACTATACCGTCCATCCTTTTCCAAAACACCCAGTAAACTTTCATATATATAAATTCTCGTCGTCCAAACAACCACCAATTACATGCTACACATTCACAGGTTAATTTAAACGATATCTAAGCAAGGGATATAATTTATATAAGCAAATAATTAAGTAACCAGATAATCAAATAATCAGTACAGGATAACCCAAGTAAACCAAATAACCAAGAACACAATTTAAACTAACAATTTAATGCACATAAATTAATAGTAAATATTTTAAGCAATATAGGAGAAAATGACAGTAAATTAGAGCAATTGTACACTGACCGATTCTACTTTTACTAGTGACTTATAATTATTATTATAATTTTTCTAATTTTCATAAATACAAAGTATTAATTATTAAGTCTCAATTTATTATAACCGATAATAAGGTGATGGATCCTTACCGAGATCGGTATTTTAAAATGCTGTGCTACCCACTATGCATCCTAGCGGGTCCTGAGTTTTCCTGAATTTTACATGCAAAAATCAAAATATTCGTAATGTACTAAAAAATAATCCAAAAATCCAAAATTAGTGTTGAAAATTCTTTCCAGCAATTTTAGGTTTCAGTACGGCGGCACTGGCATGCACCAGTGTCGGCTCCACCACCCATAGTGGTGGTTCACCTCGCTTTGGTCAGTTTTGGCCGGTTTCATATATATCATTGCAAAAAAAAAAAAAAAACACGTTAGTAAGTCTCAGTTGGCTAGAAAAATTGAAAAACTGAACCTACCAGCGAGGGGAGGGGCGGTTTCGAGTGCAGCAGCTTTGTCGGTTCTCCTTTCCAACTGGGGTTTCTCCTTCGGCTAATCTTTTTTGGCAGTCGGCAGTGACTTCGGTGCAACGGCGGCTGGTGGCCGGTCTTCTTGGATCGCTGGGCACGCGGATTGTTCGCATGACTTCTCGCGTAGTACCGATGTCAGTAGGGTTACCACGCGGCATGCTCCGGTTCGATGGGGCTACTGACGTCGTTGTCCCACGTGGCTGAACTTTTTCTTTTTGTATTTAAATTCCATATTTCTAATTTTTTTTTTAAAAAATACTATCGAATTTAAAATTTCACCTATTTTTTTAAAAATTACTTTCAATTTCGTCCCTAATTCATTTTTCTTAAAAAATTTAATAAAATAAAATTAAAATATATTTTTTAAAATAAGAAAAACCAACCCAGGTCGATTTTCGAGCCCAGATATTACAATTAGTGTGTTGGAGGTTATAAAATCTAAATTAGGATTCATTCTAATTATGTATATACATAGAGATATTTTAATTAATAATAAATTCAATTAGCTTATAAGAAATAATATTCAAATTAATATATTCAAATGGTAAAATACCAACTATGCACAAAGAGTAAATTCAAATTAACTATTTAAAAAATGATATATTTAAATATAATTTTTAACTTTTATGTGTAGATATTTAAACAGTAATTAAGTTGATATGATATTAAATGTACATTTTATAGTTACTGAAAATTACAATTTTCTTCATACCCTGAATCTATCTATATAATTATTAAAAGGTTGCTAACTGCAATAATTCCTTTTAATCATTATTATACATTTTACACTTAAATACATTATAGACAATGTTTATATTAATAATTATTTACTAGAATATATGTTATTCCATTTATTTTCTAAAACAAATGACTGACATTATATATCTTATGTATATGTGTAATATATTTTCTAAATAAAATTGATAAGTAATATATAGTTATATTTATGTATTCATACATAGATATTATGAGTTTCAAATTTTAATATTATATATATAGATGTATATATTTGATGACTTAAAGATATTGTCATGATATATATATATATATATAACACTTCAATCAATTTCGATCCAAAAAGTAGAATTATTACTTTATTTATTTCCTGGAATTTACTAATTTTAGAAACCTGACCTATAATTATTTTCTAAATTATTTTATTTTTCATAAAATTAAAAATTTTATGATGAAAATATTAAGTTATTTTAAATAAACTATAAAAATTCAATTCAACGAATAATAAAAATTTTTAGTATCTTAATTTTATTATATAAAATTTGTGATACTAGGAATGAGGGTTAAACATTATGTATTATAATACTATTAATAGAGTTTAAATTTTGGAGTAGCAAAATAAAGAACACCAAATCAAATTGAAGATGGATGTTGCAGGCGTTCTCCGCATGAATCCTCCAGGAGATGGGAAAAAGAGCTACGCCAAGAATTCTCTTGTCCAAGTCTCTTTCTTTATCTTCATCATCTAATTCATATATATATATAGATATATATATGCACGTGTCTATAATAACATTTTATAACTTTTGTGGGTTTAATGTTTCAGAGAATATTCATATCAAAATCCAAGCCATTTCTAGTAGAAACCATAAGCGACATGGTAAGATCAATGAGGAGGAGTAGCAGTGTTAATGGCTGTTGGCCGGCTTGTTTCAGAGTTGCAGACTTGGGTTGCTCGTCGGGACCCAATACGCTGCAGGTGATCTCAGAGATTATTAACACAATTAGTGACGAGATCATTTGCAACCAGCTGCAAGAAAATGATGAGCCAGAAATCCAAGTCTTCTTAAACGATCTTCCTACCAATGATTTCAACACTGTTTTGAAAGATGTTGCTGTGTCTTATAATCAAGATGATAAAAACAAACTTCGCTGTTTTGTGTCGGCCGTGGCTGGTTCTTTCTATGGCAGACTGTTCCCCAGGGAAAGTCTTGATTTTGTACATTCTTCTACCAGTCTTCATTGGCTCTCCAAGGCAAGTAATTATTAGATTCACTTCCAAACATATACACATATAAGTCAAAATTCATACATTTATCTTTAAGAGAGTTGTGTAAACTTTTAAATAAAAATATACAAAATCATAATCTAACTAGAATTTGCAATTTCAAATAAAAAATAACATATCCACTGTTTGAATAAATAGCAATACTAAATTTACATATATCTATATATGTATATATAAGGTTCCAGATGGTATTGATGAGGAAAACAGAGGGAATATATACATAGGAAAATCAAGTCCTCCAAAGATATATAAAGCATACAAGGAGCAATTTGAGAAGGATTTCTCAAACTTTTTAAGGTTACGGTGCGAAGAAATGAAAGTAGGAGGTCGTATGATTCTTATCTTAGTTGGGAGAAGCATTCCATATCCCTTGGCCTCGAAGAACTTTTTTCCATTGTGGGAGCTCCTTGCAGCATCTCTCATGGATTTGGTTGCCCAGGTAATTTATTTTTATTATTAATAATTTTACATATGTATAGTTTTAAATAAATACATTAATTATATTTAATTATTTATATAAAGCTATTCTCATCACAATAATCCACATCATTAACCACCATTAATTATTTCTACAATTAATTATCAGATACGTACATATATATATATATATATGTGTGTGTGTATCTCTTGTTCTATTCTATGCTTGGTTTTAGTGTACAGGTTTTGCATATTATCTTTCAACAAATAATTAAAAAAAAAACACAAATAACTTCAGTGTTCTACTTAGTAAATAAATGTATACATTTGTTAACTAGGGACTCGTGAAGGAAGATGCGGTGAACTCCTTCAACATGCCTTGGTACACTCCATACAAGGAAGAAATAAGAGAGATAGTTGAGAAAGAAAATTCATTCAGTCTCGATAAGCTGGAAACCTTTGAAGTGAATTGGGACCTCAGGGAAGCTGTAGCAATGAAGGAAGAAAATTTTGTGTTGAATAAGAATCAAAGTGGGCAAATTGTCAGTGATCACGTAAGAGCAGCAACAGAATCCATGTTTGTTCATCATTTTGGAGAAGCCATAGTTGACAACTTATTCAAAACCTACTCAGATCATATTGCCGAATATCTTCGCTTTCACAACTCCAAGTATATCAATATAGTCATTTCAATAACAAAAATATAGTATTTTAATTAGTTTTAAAGTTATTATGAGTTAAAGGCTTCAATTGTTGAATAAGACGTGGGTAAAATAGTAGTGTTATATTTGATTCAAACTTATTGTATTTTTAATTAATTTCTAAATCTTATTTATTTAGTGTGTACTCGTTATAGTTTAATATTTGATGCATGATTGAATAAATTTCACTCATAACTTGATTATACATACCATGAGTTTATTGGTAAAATAATATATTTTATTTTTGAATATCTATTCTACTTGCACTGAATTGTTATTTATATTTTATGAAACTGAAATTCAATTAAATTTCGATGCAATTATTATAAGTAAGGTGTGATCATTTAGAAAATTTACTTTTTATATTTTTAGGTCGTAGAAACTTTTAATTTTTTTTGAATAAATTTGCAACTAAAATTTTTATCTTTATTTAAGAAATTATATTGTATTTTCTATCTATTTTTCATAATTTCAATCCAAGTTATATATTTTTGAAAAATTTGTGAATTTATATTCTTATTGTCATAAAAAGTGGGCGTAGTTTTTAAAGTTTTAGAATTTCAGAAAATTACAGAACATATTTTTTGACATGCAGATGTATACTATGATATACTTTTTGCAATAAAATATAATTCTTTAGTTTGTTTAAATTAAAATTAAAAATTTTATTTTGAGAAAATTACTATACACCCATAAAAATTTGAGTTGGATAGCTTTAAGAGAATCAGTGTAATAACCAGGTCCAAGGGAGAGGAGAAAGCCCAGGTTCAGGCCAGGAAATAAAAAAAAAAATAAAGAAATAAAGATTTAAAAAAAAAAAGGAAAAAGAAAACCTAACAGAAAAGGGGACAGGGGCGGTGGAGAAGAAGAAGAAGAAAAAGGAGGAGGAGAAGAAGGAGAAAGAAAGAAGAATGGTGTGCGGTGCACACGAGCAAAAAAGAGGAGATGTGTACAATGTCGGGTGCGCGGCGTGCACTATCGTCGAAAAAGAAGAAGAAGGAGAAGAAAAAGAAGAAGAACGAGAAGAAGAAGAAGAAAAAAAAAAGAGGAAAAAGAAGGAGGAGGAAGGAAACATGTCGCACGGTTGGAAGAAGAGTAGTGCGTAGTGCCAGGCATGCGACGCGCACGACTAGGAGAGAAGAGCTGCACGTGGTGCACGGTGTCGAGTGCGAGGCGTGCGTTGCTGAAGAAGAAGAAGCAAAATACATGTTGGGTGGATCTGATACGCGTGAGAAAGACCATGGCGCAATGTTTTGGATCTGTTCAAAGATCCATGCGAGGCCAAAAATTAGAGAACCGAAGAGAGAGAGACCAAAACTGCACTTTTTTGAGTCGGAAGCCCAAATTCAACACTGATTTTGGTAAATTTTCTTCCACCTTATATTTGATTATCCTTTTAAATTAAATCCTTAATTATGTATATGAAATTTTTAGGAAAATTGGGAAGAGGAAACTGAAAAGGGAGCTGACTATATGGAACCAAAGTCGTTCAAAAGCTTTTCGATTTCTTCTTTCATCGGAGATTTTGATAAGAATTGAGTTAATTTTCATTTAGGGATTTAATATTTTCGTAAAATAATTTATTAATTTAAAAATGATGGACCCAAGTTTAATGAATGATTTTAAAATATATTTTCTTGTAAATTATCATCCGTATGTGAAAGTGTGTGATTGGCTTCCTACGATTGTGTTTGTGTAATTAAAAATAATGTTGAAGCTGTATGAATAGATAACTGAGTGTGTTTAAATGTATGTGCATGTGCCAATAGATACACATATAGGAGATAATAGGTGGAAGTGTATGTTTACAAACTGTATGTCTTGATACATATATATATATGATTACGTAGATAATTATTTTGAATGAGCAGTATATGATCTCGTATAGATATATGTGAAATACATAGTATATAGATAAGATGAATTCATGTGCGCAGGATGACATATGCATAAATCAGGTGCATACGCATTTGTATTTATGTGTGAACATATATAATACAGTGTATGTATCGATAAGTGATTAAAGCTATTGTATGAGTGTGAGTGTAACTCTATAAGTTTTTAATGGTAGGCATAATTATACGCGAAATATGTGTAGGGGTAGTTAAAATATATATTGTTGTGCGTGTATGTATATATAATATGAAGTGTGCTACATACATATAAATTATATGTACAATGGATACGGGAACAAGTCAGTAAGTGTAGAAATATGAGAATATGTATGTTTGTGATTGGTGTTTAAGTTTTTGAAGTTGAGATATAAAATAGAGATAATTTTTTAAGAGAAAAAAACTTACCGTATATCATGTAAGAGAGTGTATGAGCTTGGTACATAGGGTGAACCTTATTATGGATGTGTACTCAGTCGTACGAGGCTGGGAAGTCCCATACCGGACGAGGTTGAGAATTAGTTTAATTACGCTTATACCAGATGAAATATTTAGATGATTTGTAATTGTGGCACTCATTATCGGACGAGATATTAAGACAGTTTATAATTATGGTGCCCATTACTGGACGGGGTATGGGGACGGCCAGTGAAATATAAAAGAAATATTTTATAAATCCACGTGTAGTGGAGATCCTTATGGGCCCTATATCTATTGTGATTGATGATATTTATGAATGAAATGAAATTATCTGAATATGAATATAATATGATATGATGATATTTATTAATAAGAATGATATGTACGGTACCTAGATATAAATATGTTAGAATGGGTAATGAAAACAATGTGGTTCTTGATTGTTTCTTTTGTTGTACTTTGCGGTAATGATGATGAGTATGGTTATCTTACAAATTAGACTTCTATGAATATAAAATTTACATTTGTTTTATTAAACCTATATAAATGTGCATTTGCATATCTCTGTTTTGAACACTACTTTATTCTTACTAAGTCCGTGAAGCTCACCTCAATTCACACCCCTCCACTGCAGATTAGTTCAGGTCAGGAGTGAGTTTAAGATCAAAGAAAGACTTTGAAGAATCTTTTAGCTACATTGGACATTTATGGTAAAGTAGAACTAAATATATTATTGTGATGTAATTTTGAAGGGTTGTTGTGAGTCTCATGAATTGTGACTCCATACAAAAGATGTATTATTGATTTATAGAGATTAACGTAATGTTATGCAAAATTTATCAGATTTATATGTGAGGTAACACTCATTTTTCTCTAGAGAAAGCGAGTCATTACAGTTGGTATCAAAGTCGTGTTCATCGGAAGCATTCCTTATATCATGAGGCGTAGGGTTTTTATGAGGTTTAGAGTCAAAAGGAAATTAGGTGGTATACACCTTAGAAGATTTTTTTGAAACTTCGTTCGAAAACATGGGAAAACAGAATTATAAGTTTAAAATTTTGAGGAGATTGGAGTTGTATGAGTTGGAATATGATAAGTCTAGCAAAGAAGAGGTTAGGGCTTCACTCCAAAGCCAATTGAGAATGATGAATATGTAAAACTATTAGAGCTTAAACTTCTATCGAAAGGTTGATCCAATAAAAAAAAAATAAAGTAAAATTTTGGGAGGGAACTAAATTTTCCCTCAGTTTGATAAAGGGACCTTTAAAGGGGGAAGACCCCCCATAAAGCAAGAGAAAATTTTTAAGGAGAAAATAAATTCCCCAAACAAGCAAAAAGGGGGCCAAAAATTTTATTATTGCTGATTGTGTCATGATCTATATCAAGATCATGAAATAATAGAGAGCTTGGAGGTTTGGACCATTCTTTTGTCTTAAAAAGCTCTGATATAATCTGAATTACTTATGGATATTATTGGATTTTTATAATAGATGATATTTTTACGAGGCGAGTCTGCCTTTATCTTCCTATTTCCCTTACCAGAGCTTTGGCAAATACTTAAGTTATTGATGCTCTAATACTACTATCTCTAGCAATAGACATTACTAGGGATATTTTAGTTAATGGATAATTTACCTTTAATTGATTCCTTACGAAATGGAAGAGCCTTTAGAGATTAAGAAGAAAGAGAAATCCTAAAAACAAGTAGACTCATAAGCAATATTTTGAAAGACCAAATAATTATTCGATATTTTGATGCCTTTTAGGACTCCACATGAAATTTCCTTTAGAAAGGACAGATATCTTGCTTGTTCCAAATTCGCATTGAGGTTCCACATTACAACTCATATACCTCGTGGATGAAAGCATTTTGAGAGATGAAATAAATCATGTGCCTGGTAAAGATATCTATATGTATGTATATATTAAATGAGATAGAGTACACCTTATTAGTTTTCTTATTCTTGAAGGTCTTTATTCCTCTTAAATTAAGTTCTAAGGGAGAAGAGGATGTCCTAGGGACATGTTATGACCCTAAATCATTGATAATATAAAAACACACATGGAATATAATTATCTTATGCTAAAAAAGAACACATAAATGGATGCAATATACCAAGATAAACCCTTAAAGCCAACACTGTTAGAGTGGTGCAACAGAAGTGTGTTGTAGACTCATGAACCATAACACATGAAAGCTTTCTCTTGAATCGATAAAGAGAAATTGCTGATAGGATAAACATGAGATTTATGCTCTAAGACTATATTTATGAATGATCACACAAAGACTATGAAAATTAAAAGGGTATAATACATTGCCTCAAAAGAATAAAAGAAGACAAAATTTTCTTATTAGTAGCAAGGCTATTAAATGACCTCCCACATAAGGAACTCATAATGACCGTTGGTAATGACTATAGATTCTATGAGTCACCAAGTACAATCAAGAGGGTTTTAGGAAAAATTAATTGAGTACTGATGCAAAAAAAAAAGGAGGGTGACAACTGTAGATTCAATGCCTTACAAGATTAACATTCGATTAGGATACAAAAAAAAAAAAACCTTACCCAAAGCAAAATTTCTAAACATAATATGGTCATTAGTAAAACTCAGAGGACTTGAATTAACCTAACCAAACCTTCATTTACTGTAGCCATAACGATCTGTTCTCAACACATAATCAAACATTTTAAGAAAAAGGTATATCTAACAAGAAACTCCTACTGAAGGACCTTGTCCCTCCTAAATTAATTTCCTAAAGAAAGTATCTCTGG